CTTAGTAGGAAGTGTCAATGGTCCCCTACGTTCAAATGTAACTCGAGCTCTGAAAACGTTTGGAAACTCTTCACGCATCCAGGCTCCGAACATTCAAACATGTCCATCTTTGAATCGTCCAAATCATCGTCTTCATTTGAACCCTCTGTTCCAGGAACTGTGTATTCATACACACGTGCATTGTGAAAAGAGAAGAACTCCTTACTTACAACGAGAGCGGTGTCCCCTTGGTCATTTGAAACTAGCTGGTCGTAAGAAATCTCCTTGCCACACCCTATTCCATACGACCTCCACTCACGTATACTTTTTTCCCAAACTGGATGTTTTGTAGCTTGCTAAAACCATCTATCTTGTTCACTTCTAAGGTTCTCTTAGACTCGTCAACTTCACATACGCACGCGGATGTACCTTTCACTGTTCTCTCAGAGAGCGTCTTTCTCATGTCTCCCGCTGGTAGAATGTCGTGTCCTTCGTTGCAGAAACGTCGGATGCATATTTTCAATGGGCACAGGATACGATCACACACATCCTTGCCATACTGTGCCTCTGAAAAGTCGTAGCGAAAGACTTCAATACCTGCGCGCTGACCGATGTCTCTTGCTGCGGCAATGAGAGAATTATGATAACAGCCAGTTTCATTGGACCTTAGGTAAACTCGAGGGATGTGGGGCCTCTTGGTTTTAATTTCTTTTAGTGTACTCTCTATGATGGAACACACGGCGAACCAATCGTGCTGACATGTGTCAAACAGATGGGCAAAGGACTGCAGTTCTAGTTTTCCTTTGTGGTTTGGATCACTTGTGATCACTGTCGAGATGTGCCAACTCATTCCTCTCTTGCCGAATTAATCGGACAGCTTCTCACGAAATTTAAGCTGGATAAATCTCATTGCCCAGTCCATTATGACTAATGCACAGTCTTGACTGGTGCTTATCATCGTCAGCTGATCTTGCTTTGCTGCTTCCTGGTTTATGGAGCGAACAATGTGAGTCTTCCACTGCAAATTGTCGGTTTTTTCCAGCTTCAAGTCATAGAGGAGATCATCTCGTTGCTCGCTGCTGTAAGGTCTCCTAGACGGTCCTCGAATTTTTTCTTCGACTTCATCAAGGATATTTCGCAGATTTTGACACTCCTTACAGTTTTGTGTGTGTTGGTGGGAACAATTTTCGTGGAATTCGAGATCTTGTTCATCACTAAGAGCGAGCTTACGGCAATGATCAGGACATACAGCCTTCTCTGGATTGCAATGAACACGAAAATCAGTCTTCAAGTAGCGTTTTGCTTTCCTCAGCCTTTCTTTGACTTCAGCGCCCCATTGCCTTTTCATTCCCCCTTTCTCTAAGTCGTCGACTATCATTTTAATTTTATGGAAGCCAGCTGAACCATCGGCAGCAGTGTTGTCGAGGCCTTGCAATGACTTTCTCTGTGAGGTTTCTCTGACTTCAAGAGTCTTGAATAAAGT